AACTATATAAAACTTTATTATTATTGAAAATCAAAACGTTTTTTTTCTCAATTATGTTACTTTTAAAATATCAAATTCCATCTTCATTGATTTTAGATATTCATAGAGAACGTTTTTGTTTTAATTATACACATATTTTGGTCGTAAAATGAAAAATTAATTAGTTAGAATAAAACCATTTTCTAGTTTCAATTCATTTGATATTGTTTGTTTAAATGTTCTCATTGTTATTTAGGGACTGTAATTGATCAATCATTTATTGGCATATGTACATCTTCTGTGGATTGAATTGATATTGGTATAAGTCATAAGCTTTATAGACAAAGATGGATGTTGGCTAGCACTGAAATGCAGGAAGCTCGTTTTGTCCTATTTCCGACTCATCAGCTGGATCCACGTGCATCCCGAGGTTGATGTACTGGGTTCGAGTCCTAGAGTAAATATCAACTCTAGGATGCAGGTACACACAATTGAAAAGTTATAGCAGCTCACATACAATTGAGTTTGTTCATATTTAATTTGGTAAAGCCTGTTGTTAATTTATTTTTAACGGACAGAGTCATTTGCACAATAACAATCTATCTATACTATTGTATCTTTATTATGTACGCTTGAGCATTGTTTACTGCCTACGCATATATTCATTTTGCTAGCCTTAGTATTAATCGCTTAATTGATTCGATGATTCATTCATTTCATATATATAGTAGACTTATCCCCCGATAGTTTTTACAGGAACGACGTGAACCCTTTTTAAAGATAGGGACCACTATCGACTCAATCCGTGATGTTGGAACACTTCCTAGCTCCCAGACCTTTGTAAACAATGCAGTCAATTTCTTGGCCATAAAGTCACCACCATTTTTAAAAACAGCCGAAGGTAAGTCATCTGGGCCCGGTGATTTGTAGCGTTTTAGGAGTTGGAGTTCCTTGCGGACTTCCGCCTCATTTGGTGGATCAGTTACCTTAGACCATGGAGGGCAAGACAGTCTGATCGATGTTACCGGGGCAACAGACCTGTTGAATTGCCCCTGGAAAAACTCTGACTATCGTCCAAGACGTCGATAGATGTGAGTGATCGGCATCCCGTCATCTTCACAGATTGTTACACTCACACTCGACTTCTTGCTGCCAGCGACTCGAACGAGTCGGAAGAGCGTCCGGCAGTTACCAGATGCAGCTGCTTCTTCCAATTCATCGACAGATTTCGACCACCAGGCTTCCCGGTCGTTACGCAAGCTTTGCCCGATTTCATTGTATAACAGTTGTCGTTTGTGGTCAAGCTCACGATCACCCGGAGTAGACCGACAGGCTTCAATGAGTTGTAAGGAGCCAGAAGAAACCCAGTGTTTATAAGCGGGACGCTTCGCGAAGTTGCAAGTGACTTTGCTCGCCATTTTAATGGCTTCATGCAGTTGCAGCCAATGCTCATCTATACTTTTCCGTGGGATGGTAGCTAGCCATCAATCCGTTGATGACGATCAATTTGTTGGCCACTGAAAAGGAAGGTAAGATTTGCGCAGACCAGGGCATGATCAGACTCCAGATAGGTACTCCAAAAGAAGCGACAGTCTTGTACACAACCACGCCAGCGGTAGCTGATCGCGATGTGATCAATCTGAGACCAGGCCTGAGATACAGAGGGAGGACGCTAGGTGGCACACCGGCGATGACTGTGCCGGAAGTTAGTGCTAGCCAGAAACAGGTTTTGGTCTGTGCACTGTTGCAGCAACCGGTCCCCGTTATCTGTCCTGCGACCAACAAGTCCCCATCGGCCACCTAAAAGACTCTCTTCTGTTCCTAGACGCCCGACCTGTGCATTCAAGTCTCCGGCTAGTACTACAATATCTGTCGAACGCGCTTTCTGGAGAAGAACTGTTAACTGGTGGTAGAACTCATCCTTGATTGCATCCGGGCTGCAATCTGTCGGGATATAGGCGGAGATGACGAAAAGACACCGTTTCTCACGCCAATTTTTTTCACTTTGATGGAACTTGCTAATGTAACAGAACATAACCGACTTTTAAATGGGAATCCAATCGATTAGTGCTGCCTCAGCCCTAGCGCTTCGTGCGACACCAACGCCAGTAAGACCAGACGAAAATGCCACAGGGTCTCCGGATAAGCACACGTGAAACAAGCTTTTCGAGGCGACAGATGGCGAGCGAATTTGTAGTACTTCACTAGAGTCTTGAATATGGGTCTCGGATAGACAGCAAACGTCGATATTAAGACTTTCTAAAGACAAAGCCAGCTCCATCTGTTGTCCGATCTGCATTAGTGTGCGAACGTTGAAGGAAGGAAGTTAGAACGGCGTACGTGGTTTCAGAAAGACTGCTTCAGTATTCGTAATCGGTGGAAGCATTCACCTTCAACCAGACAGTGACTGGAGATCGTTTAGATAGGACAGAGTTTCCACCAAGGGCGAGCAACTGCATAAGTTGGAAAGGAAGGATACACAATTCGGGAATAAAGGGAGTGAAAAAGCGAAGTAGTAAATAATAGTGATAATAATAATAATAATAATAATGTAAATTGTCTGACTTTTAATAGGACCTTGAATAGTATTACCAGTAGAAATCGTCATTTTATTTATTTGTGTGAGGGCTGTGATACTGCCCGGGTGCCCAGACCGATGTAGCCTTTAAATATTTAGAGGAGAATCGAATAGAAAATTGTGCTGAAATAATTTATTGAGCAATTTCATCGCAATTTCTGGTAGACAGAATTCTTGATTCAATCCATAGACGTAAAGACGTGATACATTATACAAGAACTGCATGAAATACGATTCTTTAAATCACATTTAGCGAACAGATAATTTTTTTGGAATTCTCAGTTAGTTTATAGAAACGTTTTATAAAGGTATTTCTATTCTACTAGGAAGAGAAGACTGATACTCTATGATTGAAGGCAGGCCCAATACTAACTAGCACCGAACAAAATGAAAAAAAGACAAGTGATCACTAGTCTAAGATCGTCATGTTTCATACAGACGTAGTCTATATGCAAGCAGACCAGACCGCATCACGCCATAAAATAATGACAGTTATACATGATCACGCCATAAAGTGGGGGGAGTTTGTGGATAATAGATTGGAACAAATAAGGGATGGTAAGTCGTAGAAAATTGGTTAATGGGTCATTCAAAAGCTTATAATAAAAGAAACACATGCATGGTTATTTAGTTACTTAATGACTATACGATAATAATATATGTAAAAACAGTTCTGAGAGCTACCATCTCTTTCATCTTCATACAGATATAACACATACCCGGCTAATTTCAAACTTTATGCTACTTATACTATGTTTGCACAGAGTAATTGGTTAGTTTGAAAAATCTAAACAAATCAGTGAGTTAAAAAACAATCAACCGCATATATAACGATACCTTTTACGGTAATTCCTTTTCCATGATTGTTGTTTCACGCTTTGTTTCTAGATGTAGATGATAACAGGGAAATTCTAACTAGACAGGAATTGGCTTATGTCATACTAGTTATTACTTTTACTACGAGAACACTGGTTACTGTACGTTGTAGCATATAACCACTGATAGTCGGAAAATCAGTCACATACCATAGTACAGTCCATTAGTTTCGTCACACCATAGTATCTTTATTCGTTCTAATTCAACAACCCCACCTCTCCCCCCCACAAATTAAGGGTATTATATGATCTCTAAACCCACTACAGACCTAAACACAGTAACAATAACCCACGGTTAGTGCTGAACAATATCGTGTTGTGTAAAACCGAACTGTAGCACTGGAGAGGAAACTGTTTAGTGTATATTTTTTGGCGTAAACGTAACATCTATCATTTCAAAAAGCTCATGACATTGTAGTTATGGTACATACTTAGCTTATTTATGTTCTTCATATATTATCTATTTAAGACAACACTGTGTTTACAATGCTTATGGCTTATGGGGGTGTTTACGAGAATTAAAGGACAAAAATCGAATGTTCGGCACTTTAACCGAGTTGGTAGATTTGAAGATCTACATAGGGGAAAACCCTGATTCCAAACCAATGGTGCACATGGGCTCCAGTATCCTGAGAGAACAAATGGCATATGAACCAATAGTCGGTCACCGGCTACTATGGGACTGCACCTCCTTATGATGCTGCACTACCTTGTGGATTAGGCATTTAGGTCAAAGGCTCTGGGCGTTTCCCACTAAGAAAACCACCTGCTTCGGTATGGGCACCCGGGCAGTGTCATATCCCTCACACAATTGAATGAAATGACATTATTTTGTGTGGCCCATATATATCTGGTACCCCCTTGTACCAATACTTATATGTTCAAATAAATAAATAAAGTCTAATACAACTAGTGTCAATGAAGCTAGTGTATACCTATATTTACATAGGACATAAAATGTAACAATCTTGTCATTATTTCCAAGTGGGAATTTTCAATGTACGACAGTAAATATTATTATCTACCATTTTAGATTAGATAAATTTGAAAAAATGGCCTTCCCTGGTACGGCCGAGAGTGGGGAGAGTTGGCTCTCCCCCTCGAAATACTCTCACATGGCTACGAGTATATAGCCTACTTACTGCCTTCTCGCAACACGGGTGTTGTTTACGAAATTGAGAGGACGAAAAGTGAATGTCCGGCGCCTTAATAGGCTTAGCGGACACGGAGGATCCACCTAGGGGAGTTGAGAAACCCTAATTCCAAATCAATAGTGCACATGGGCTCCAGTATCCTAAGGGAACAAATGGTGTATGAGCCTATTGTTGGTCACCGACTACCATGGGACTGCATCTCCTCACGCTGCTCCACTGCATTATGGATCAGACCTTCAGGTCAAAGGGTCGGGGTGTGGTCTCCTAAGCAAACCACCTGCTTCAGTTTGGGCATCTGGGCAATATCACATCCCTCACACAAATCAAATAAAATTTGTGTGGCGCACATTTATCTGGTGCCCCTTTGTACCAATATTTATGTGTTCAAATAAATAAATAAATAAATTACTGGTTGATAATTCAGTAGTAGATTTATTTCCTAAAATTAATCTTTACTTAAAAAGAAAAGTAATACCAGTCATAAAATGTTATAGTAAACTTAATTTCACTTACAGCAGATCAAGGGAACCAAAATAAGGAAGAAAAAGGAAACGTTCTTTTTACATGAGTCATCTGTCAAAAAGGTTGTTAGTATGGTTAATTAAGAAAACGGCATTTCAAGATTAGGAATACTTTTTTGTCACTAGCAATAAACAAGAAATAAACCATTCGTCGGGGAACTGAAGATACAAACCAAAAAGCAAATAAAATATTTACATTTACCCTTAAAAAAACTGATAGGGAAAAATAGGTAAATTGAAAGTAATGTTTATGATAAACTGGAATGTCTTCGAAAAAAAAGAAAAAAAACAATGATCACATAAAAAAAATAATTACTTCTTTTCATTTTCAACGATATGTAAACCTTCAGTCATAACAGATGACCATGAACTATCATCAGTTTTCATGAGAATAATTTCTACAGCATCATCACGTACAATTAATTGTGATCGTTTATTATCAAGTATACCCGGTAATTTGTTAACATGAAGTTGATAATTACAGTCTGCTAAATTATTAAGCCCACGAAATTCAAACAGGAAACCATCGTTATTTAGATGAAACACTATTTCACCATTTGATGCTTTTTTGTATAGTTTAGGGATAAGCTTTTTATGAAATTCTAATATAGTTGATGATTTTAAGCCTTGAATTTGAATAGTAATACGTAATTTGTTTGTGGCTAAACTTGTATCTAATGCATAATTTGGTATTATGAAGTTAACATCACGACTTGAATATGCCATAATTTGAATATATCTAAAAGTAAACCGGTGATATAAAAACAAAAAAAGGTGATTACTAACAAGATTGATTAAACTAATGATGAAATATTCACTTTTAAATACTATTGATACAAGGGCGCTAGACACGCTAGAATTCTCAACACGTCATAGATCCTATCTGTCATCATGAAAATTTTTAATGAGTGTGCTATTGAACGCATTAGAATGTTTACCCACAACAAATGAAGTATGATTTAAAAACGAATGAAACAAAATTCCACCTGCAAATACATGATGTATATTCCGCATAATAATGTTGAATGCAGTGTAAGTTGTTTTTTATAATCTAGAAATTTTGTTTAGTCCGCTTCTTAGAAGTAACGTACGCCTCACTACGGATGTGCATAGGTTTAAGTTACCACACACCACCACCAGAAAATCAGGCTGGCTTCAGAGCTGGTCGTGGATGCATCAACTACATGTTCATTATTAGCCAGATTTTAGAGCACAAGCATACTTATCAGCGTACCACAATGATAGTTTTTCTTGACTTAAAAGTAGCGTTTGACTCTGAAGACCAGGAGGTTTAGTGGCAGTCTGTCATTGAAAGGTATGCCTCAGAAGTACATAAACCTTGTGAAGGCTCTTTACTCGAACACTACTAGTCTAGTGAGAGCTTATGGCGAACTGTCGTCTGATTTTACAATCTTAAGTGATGTCCGACAAGACAGTCCACTATCTCCATTTTTGTTTAACTTTATTATAGACCTACTGCTAAAAATAATGCCCTCGTCGACTGAATTTTCGGGAATTGATCTCCTACCAGGAGGTCCACTTATTGACTTAGAATAAGCAAATGACATAATCCTGTTTGGTGAAGATGCTGACAAAATGCAGAGTCTTCTGTTAGAACTGAGTAATAATGCCAGGATGTTCGGGATGCGTTTCTCTACTTCTAAATGTTAATTGTTGCTTCAGGACCAGCCTGCGTCAACACATGAACTGAGGACAGAAAATAAATTAGTCGAGCGCGTCAACAACTCCACTTATCTTGGAAGTCTGATTAGCCCTAATGGGTTGGTGTCTGACGAAATCTCTGCACAGATTCAAAAAGCTCGTTTGGCTTTTGTCAAATTACGTCACCTGCTGTGAAGGGGAGATATCCATCTATCAATTAAAGGACGAGTATACTGCGCAGCAGTTCATTCTGTTTAGCTTAACCGCTGCGAAACGTTGTCATTAAGAGTAGAAGATACTCGTAAGTTACTAGTATTTAACCACAGATGTGTTAGAAATATTGCTCGCATCTGCTGGGATCACCGGGTAAGTAATAATGAGGTTAGATACAGGGTATTAGGAAATTATGGTAGATCAGTTGACGAGGTTGTGAATCTTAATCGACTGAGATGGTTGAGCTACGTGTTACGTATGCCTGAACATCGATTACAACGACGCGGAATGCTGACTAGTATTAAGGATGGTTGGAAGAGTTAGGGGCGGCCAAAACAAAACGTAGCATCAGTGCTTGAAGTCACTAACTTCGAGTCTCAGCCATTTTGGCAGATGCAGACTATTTGGTTGGGGACCGCGCGACTATCGTAACCAATGGTTGGAGACTAGGTGACATGGCTGAGAATCGACCACAATGGTGTAGGTGTATACACTCTTTATCTTCCCTTAAACTTTGAGATTAAAATTGATTCATATCTGTCTTTTTTCCTGTACTATGTCCTTATATGCGATCTTTCTTTTATATATTGACACCACTAAATTAACTACTTCTATGAACCTGGTGTTCATCTTGTTGTGCTAATGAGGTATGACAACTTGGACCGATGCATATACGTGCCTGGTCCTACGTTGAAGCTGACTGACTGACACCACATCAGACCACTTATGAAGAAAGCTGATCAGATGAGAAAAGGAATTGAACCTTCTTGGACGAGTATCAAAAATCGAAAGATATAGCACAAAGAGTTGAAATAAGACCGAATAATGACGAATAACTTGACTCAAAATTTATAACATAAAAAAGGATGCAAATGCACCATTGGGACTGATCTTGCGGTTTACCACTTGGCGTCTTCAATTGCGGATCCTGAGCATCACACAAACCTTAATTAGAAAGGCCTGAGCACAACAACATGATTCACACTGCTAGTCAATGACTATATAAATTCGTGACAAGTTTCTATCTGGTTGCCCTGGACTTAAACCTACGACAGTATCATTAAGCACTAAAATTAGAGATGAACGGTGATGTTAAATGAACTCCAGGATATGCTGACCGTCAAAAATTTTAGGCAGGTTGTTTAGACTAATCTTGGAATATAAAAACCAAATACAGAGAAAGTGGCCACAAATAAACCATTTTTGTTTAATCTAAGCTTTTATCGACAAAAGACTAATATTCAAGAGCGATAGACGATTAGTATTTGTGAGCTTATACCGTGATGTCTTGAAATTAGTGATAAGAGTCCAAGTGGTTGTGAGTGGAAAAGAAGTGGGGAGACTTCAATTCATGGAAGACTTTCAAGAGGTACTAGAGTGGACTAAAACACTTCAATCACTTACTAGGGTCGGGATAAGTTCAAAATGAATGTGAGGAATTACAACTAAACGTTTGGGTTTAAAACCAGCGATTCAAGTCAGATTTTTTCTCGCTAATTGATGTCAGCTGTAATTCCAAAATGCTATTTATTCAGATGGATTGCTGAAAATCGTGCTAAGAATCAAGTAATTTTCACTTTGATCCTATTAATCCCTCCATAAATCATAGTTTCTCCACTTAAGAGGCAAAAAGGAAATATTGGTCAATTAGAATGACGTACTATCCTGAGTCCTCAAAATGTGTTGTTTCCTCACACCCCGAATGTATTTTACCGGATCGTTAAACTTGGGCTTGAGACCTGAAAAACCATACACTACACCTTGATCAAGTGACACTTGTTGTGGCAACATTCGTATGAAAGCCAATATTATCCTGGAGTGAAAATTATCACTCAGATTCTTAAGAACCTGATTGTAGCTGTCATGTTCACTAAATGATAAAACTTGCTTAAGATGAAAACTCAGTTAACCTTTAAACACTAAAGCACTTTATACTTGAGGTTAATTGCAAACTAAAAGCAATTCTAAACAAAATTTGCGATATCTCCTCACTGTAACGTCTAACTTTACACAAATTGAGTTTTTCAAGGCTAGATAATTTCAAAATTCAATATCAGATATTTTTGTGTCGAGATTGTATGAAACTATTAGTTTTTTGAGCTCCCTGAGCTCGCTGTTTCAGTACTATTTCGGGTCTTCATTATTTCTCACGTGGAGGTACTCAGCCTCTCGACTCCATTAGTTCTAGTCATTTTAGTGGATATTTGTGTTTGAATATTATGTAATCTGAGTACATTTGTTCCACAACAGTATTGTTCCGAAACCAACAGATATCACACTGCTGTACAGTATTTGACTGTCTAGAGTGTGAAAAATAAAGGATAAATAATCCGAATGCAAAAGAGCAAAGATATGTTGATTGTCTCAAGAAGTAACTAAGTAAATTAATTAATTTTGCAAATGATTTGAGAAGACCAAAGTGTAACCGCAGGTAGATTGGGTTGACTTGACTAAGTATATTTGAAGGCATTAGTTCATGAACTAAAGGTTGATGAATACGGGTTTTGTAGTCTATTTCTCGTCGGATGTCATCGATTGACTACCAATTAACGGGTGTGATAGCGTTTCAAGGGTGAACGGATGTGTACGCAGAAATATGTACACACATAAGACCAGACATGTTTTTGTATTTGACGGAATCGATTTGGACAACTAAAAATTTTGATGCTAATTTATGTCACTAATTTATGAAACAAAGTATGACCGTACATACATTTATAATTTTTATTTCGATATAAAAGAAACAACACCTCACGATTATGCTCAAACACAAATTTCCGTTTTGAAGTAGCGCAAATCCTCATTGAGTCATTTGTCTTGAAGTAGATACGAAAGAGTATACTGCTGAATTACTAAATAACATTGCCTTACAGTTGACTTTAAAAGAAATTAATCTTTTTTTTTTTCATCCAAATTCAGGTTGCGCTTTTGTGATAACCTTGTTCGAAATTTAGCCAACTTTTATTTTGCGTTAAAGAGTATGGATGCTTATTTTTGCAAAATGTGGGTGTGACTATTTCACGTATTTGACTTTGCTACCTACTATCACTATCACCATCACACGTCATTAACTTACTCCTATCTCGCATATTCTTATTTCTGTTTTCCATTTCATTCGGTCTTGTCACACTGACTGCATTACTAATCAGTTAACTTACTAATTTAATTTTCGAAAATATCAACTCTTGGTATTCGAATCTTCACTTAGTTGATTTTACATTGAAACTGACAAACAAACCTTCTGTTTGAATTCACTTAGTATTGTTTGTTTGGATCTTCCCATCGATGTGTTTAGGACTGCAACTGGTCAGTCTCTAGTTGGCATATGTGCATACTGTGCGTATTGCCTCGATATACCTTAATTCACAAGCATGGTAAGCAGAGATGGATAGTGGCTAGCAGTGGAATCCAGGACGCGCGTTTCGTCCTACTTGGGACTCGTCAGCTGGATGTACCTGCATCTCAGAGTTGATGTTCACTCTGGGACTCGAATGTGTGCATCCTGGATTCCACTGCTAGCCACTATCCATCTCTGCTTACCATGCTTGTGAATTAAGGTATATCGAGGCAATACGCACAGTATGCACATATGCCAACTAGAGACTGACCAGTTGCAGTCCTAAACACATTGATGGGAAGATCCAAACAAACAATACTAAGTGAATTCAAACTTCACCCCATCGCACAAGCAAGTGGCTATCAGGACTCAGTGGCCGAGTGGATAACGCGATGGCGTTTGAAGCGAGGGTACTGGGTTCGAGTCCCAGAGTGAACATCAACCCTGAGATGCAGGTACATCCAGCTGACGAGTCCCAAGTAGGACGAAACGCGCGTCCTGGATTCCACTGCTAGCCACTATCCAAACCTTCTGTCTGTTAATGTGACAGTTTCTGATATTGAGAAACCATACTGCCTAAAGGAGAATGTACACACTCAGATTACACGACACACAAACCTAGGAATAACTAGTTAACTGAATAAAATTAATGCAATCGAGTGATTGGACTACCGACTACCGGGTATTATCAAATACGTGGAACCCTAAGGGAGCGACAAGGAGGGACCCCAAAGAAATCGATCGGTTTATACAGACTCGTCAGACGGTAACTGGTTATATTGGAAGTTTGTGCTGTGAGCGTTACTTGATAGGTACGCTTCTTTTGTGTTTGTCGTATCCTTGACATCATTGTTCGCCACTTTTATGTTCTCTTTTCGTGAAGAAGTTAAGTTAATCAGTGCTGTAGTTTTCCTGGATTTAGGAACTTTTAGCTAATAATGACTATGAGATAACTTTTCACTAGAGATCTACTCATATTAACATCTGTTACCGGTTAGTCCTTCTATTATTTATATTGAAAAAGCTATCTTAACATTCGATCCAATGTTTTTGTGAAGCTCGGGGATAATCAGGAGAGAGTACCGATTGTGTGTTTTAGTCCTCGCAGTAGTTATTCCTGCACAATCCAGTCAATTTGTAAGTCGCCTCACCTGTACAGCTAATATTGTGTTTTCCACCAACCGATTTCAGCCGATAATCGTTTGATAAAACTCCAAACCCTTCATTCATCAACGGGTAATCTATGTTTCTCAAAGTATCAATTTCATTTGCGAAGGATGTAATGGAAGATTGGATACAGTACGGTATATGGATATGGTAAGACATCCTGAAATGTTTTTGCCAGGGCAAATAGCAACCGTGTAGTACGGATATAACATCCCAAATCTTTAAAAAAAATGTCACCGCAACTCACTATGATCAATTTATAGCTTGTGGTGACCCTTGGTGCTTTTAATATAGTATGATCAGAGACACCACCAACGGTACTGGTGAAAGTTAGTGCAGTTAGTATGCTTTGTCACATTTCGCATGGAATCACTACAGGTACCAGCTTTTTTACTAATTAGTCAGTTCATTTAACCCGACATGTCGTTCAAAAAACTCCGCCTGTAGCTCTTCTAGAGTTACTGCCGGTCCCAAGCCCGGGTAAAGGAGGAGGGTTGGGCATGGGGTTAGCGACCCCATCCCGTAGAAAAGCTAACTCGCTAAAAAAACGCTAACCAGAAAAAATAATTCAAACCATTTAAACTCTGCCCTGGGAGTTGTACGAATAATGACGTCTCATGATGAAAGCCGAAATTCTTCGGAAGTCACGAGACCGATGCACCTTCTAACAACCAGAGCAACACTCTTTATAGGTACATGGAACGTCCGGACAATGTGGGAAACAGGAAAGACCAGCCAAATAGCAATGGAAATGAGGAGATACAACTTGGCAGTACTCGGAATCAGCGAAACCCATTGGACACAAACTGGACAACAAAGGCTAGGTACAGGAGAGATGCTGCTGTACTCCGGTCACGAAGGGGAAAATGCGCCACACACTCAGGGTGTTGCTCTAATGCTGTCCAGAGAAGCACGAAATGCACTTGTGGGATGGGAATCTCATGGACCCAGGATAATCAAAGCATCATTCAGAACAAAGAAGCAAGGGATCACAATGAATGTTATCCAATGTTATGCACCCACCAATGATAGCAACGACGATGATAAAGATCAGTTCTATGAAAGGCTGCAATCAATTATAGCAAAGTGCTCACGAAAGCACCTCACCATCCTGATGGGAGATCTAAATGCTAAAGTTGGAGTGGACAACACAGGATATGAAGATGTAATTGGACGACATGGACTAGGAGAGAGAAATGAAAATGGGGAGAGACTTGCAAACCTATGTGCTTTCAACAAATTGGTTATAGGCGGCACAATATTCCCACACAAACGCATACACACAGCTACATGGATCTCACCGGACCACACCACAGAGAACCAGATAGATCACATCTGTATCAACAAAAAATTCCGAAGATCAATGGAAGATGTGAGAACCCGGAGAGGAGCTCACATAGCTTCAGATCACCACCTGGTTGTGGCCAAGATGAAACTGAAGCTTAAGAAAGACTGGACAACTGGACAAACAGCACTACAAAGGTTTAATACAGCCTTCCTTCGAGATGCTGACAAACTCCATGAATTCAAGATAACTCTCAACAATAGGTTCCAAGCTCTACAGGATCTACTGAAAGAAGAAGAAACTACTTTGGAGGACAACTGGAAAGGGATAAAAGAAGCACTAACTTCAACGTGTCAGGAGGTTCTTGGTCCTAAGAAGCACCATCACAAGAAATGGATCTCTATGGGAACCCTGGATAAACTTCAAGAAAGGAAGAACAAGAAACTAGCAATTAACAACAGCCAAACACGAGCAGAGAAAGTCAAAGCACAAGCAGACTACGCAGAAGCAAACAGAGAAGTGAAGAAAAGCATTAAAGCCGACAAGCAGAAATACATGGGAGAACTAGCAACGGCGGCGGAAAAAGCTGCAAGAGAAGGGAATATGAAACAACTATATGATACAACGAAGAAATTGGCAGGGAGATATAGCAAACCAGAGAGACCAGTCAAAGACAAAGAAGGAAAGACAATCACTGAGATTCAAGAACAGAGGAAAAGATGGGCAGAATACTTTGAGGAACTGCTGAATAGACCAGCCCCATCGAATCCACCGAACATCGAAGCAGCCCACACTGACCTTCCAATAGATGTCACTCCACCAACGGTCGAAGAAGTCAAGATGGCCATCAGACAAATCAAAAGTGGGAAGGCGGCAGGACCTGACAATATACCAGCAGAAGCACTGAAGTCAGACATTGAAATAACTGCAAACATGCTTCACCTTCTATTCAAGAAGATTTGGGAAGAGGAACAAGTGCCAATGGACTGGAAAGAAGGATATCTCATCAAGATACCAAAGAAAGGAGATCTGAGCCAATGTGAGAACTACAGAGGCATCAGTTTGTTATCAGTACCAGGAAAAGTTTTCAACAGAGTGCTGCTGAATCGGATGAAAGACGCAGTAGACGCCGAACTTAGGGATCATCAGGCTGGATTCCGTAAGGATCGGTCGTGCACAGACCAGATTGCGACACTACGGATCATCGTTGAACAATCAGTTGAGTGGAACTCATCACT